TACTGTCTATGGTATTTTCAGCATAGCATATACTTATTTACTGAATGAAGAAGTTACGACATGCACTGGACATACATTTTTGCCACTGCGTTACTGTAACATATTTTCGTTAATATGCTACGTCAATAAACTGAAATGCTGTATTGCAGATGCTGTCCATAAGTAGATTTCTGAGCGATTTTTTTATGGTTTGTTATTATTACGTATAGATAAGCATCTTGTCTAGTCTTGGTTTGAGTTCTACTTATAAAAAAGGTTTTATATGGGAGAAAACTAAACATATTATCCAACAGCAAAACAAGCTTCAAAATACGTTGAAAAGTACAAAACAAAACCTTTTAAACATTTAACATACCTCAGATTGAACGAATTTATTATTGTAAAATTGAATGTTTTTTTTTTTTAAAGAAAATAAGTTTATATATAATGTTGTTATATAAAAGGAAAACCCGTTATCAATAGCATTATAAATGGTCGTGAATCGATACATATTTACAATTTGGAATATGTATCAAGTTCTGTTCCAGCATTTACAGTTATATTTTCCACTCTCTATACAATGTATTTATACAAAGGGTTGAATACGTTACATTAAAACGATTCTGAATATGCAGATCAGCAAATCATATTCAACCATAGCCAGGTAGCGATATTCAACCTAGAATTGATTGCTTTTGTAAATCAAAATATTAATATGCCCAGACCATAAAGATTTGTTCAGATCGCGGTTTTGGAATTTCCAAAGCGGTGATATCCCTTGTATTTAAATACATTGGAAAGTAAAAGAATATGGATCTACTTGGGGCACCATAATCATCCAGATAGAGACCTGGATTAACATTAACAAAGCCACCCTCAATACCCTTAGCAATAATAGACTCACCAGTGGCAGAACTTGAATCTAAAGGCAATATACCTTCTAACAACAATGATTGAGCCGCCCCAGTATCACATAGAATACGTATGGATATGGGATTGCCAGTGACACTTGTCAAAGACACGGAACCTGCAGATACAAAAGGTCTAAATTCCTTCCTGATTACATCAGCCTTTATATCAGTGGTCACACCAACAACATCGGCTGATCTGGTGAAACTACGTCCCTATGTGGACACAAACACACTGGGTGTTGCCTCCTTTTCTTTTTCAAACACCAACAATTGGACATAACATGACCAGGTTTTTTACAAAAATGGCAGATATGCCTTGATTATTTTAAAGAAGTTTTATCCTAACTGTCAAAAGATTTCGAACTAGAGGAGCTGGATTTTTTAGAAGATTCCTTAACTTTAGTGGTTTGAACAGATAGATGTTTTAGTTGAGATGGTAGGAATTTCTTTTTATGACAAGTGGTTTTATGTGTTAAAGTGTATTCATCGGAAAGAGCGGCTGCTTCCTGTAGTGTTTCAACTTTCTTTTCATCGAAGTAAGTTTTGAGGTCGTCATGGGCACAACATTTAAATTCCTCAATTAGACATAATTGTCTTAGTTTGTCGAAACTGTTGCCAATATGCTTAGAATTGCACCATCGATCCAAATAAACCTTTTTCCTAGGCGAATTCCATATAAGTTTGATTATCTTGTTTGCAATACCCTCGAAACTTTTGGCGATAAACTTCCGGTACTAACTCATTTGAGAATAGCTGCTTTAACCTTATCATAATTCGTACAGTCTTCTAGAGAGAGAGCGGCATAAGGTTCTTGTGCTTTACCAGTTAAGACACTTTGTAATAATAATGACAATTTTTCGATAGGCCATTCCATATGTGGGCAGCCTTCTCAAAATGTTGGAAATATTTATCAACTTCATTTTCATTAAATGGTGGTTCTTTAACATATCGATTAAGTTAAAAGGTGTCATTTTGCCTTGGTCGATCAATGTTGAGTCTAATTTCCATTTCTTTCAGCCTATTTTCTTTTTCGGCCTCAGACGTTTATTTTCTCTTTCAGCTTCAATACGAGCTTGTTCTTTCTCGGCTTCAATTCGAGCTTGTTCTTGCTCTTTCTCGGCTTCATTTTTTCATTTCATTTTTCTCATTGATTTTTTAACTTCTAGTTCTAAAACTTTGGCAAATTCGATTAATTAATTTTTGTTACATTTTTCTAGTTGTTGGAGGGAGGGTAGTTAAAGAAAATCTTGATAATCAGATATGATGAAATCTTGTTGGCACTGATAAATATAAATTCAATTGTGATTTAAATTTTTAATTTAGATTGAATTTTGTCTCTGATTTAAATCTCGGACACGAGCCCCCAATTTATTAAGTTACGTATTAGAATTTCGAAAGGTCTGAAACTGAGCTAAATGATACTTTGAATTTAGTAGTTAAATTTTACTTTGAATTTAGCTGTTAACTAAAAGCCGATATATGGTCAGTTTTGCCAACAAGATTGATACACACAGTTTTCTTTTTTCACACAAATACGTTTTAATATATACAAAACAATACAATTTACAATAACAGTTATTACAAATAGTTTTTACAAACAATGATTTATAAACAAAAGTTTCACAAAATTATAAGCAACATTAAGTCTTCTTCTGGTCTGGAACTTCTTTGATATCTTATTGAGGGTTCACGATGAGCGAGTTGATTACGAGTTGACGTAGGTATAATTCACATAACAGGGAGCTAGCTAGCTTTGTCTTTCGTTATTTACCGGCCACACACGTCGAGTTTTCCAGGATGAATTTATAAAATATTTTTGTAAAAATACTAATGTCCAATGAGAATCTACTGAAGTTAAATGATTTGTACTGTTCGAACTTTGTAAAGGTTCCTGGTCAAATATCTGAAGTTTCCCGATTGATAAATGTTATAACAATCACAGTTATAGCTTCCAAAGTTTATAGCACACTGACTATAGTAAACTAATAATAGATACTCTTCTTTAGTGCGTTGTATTGATTATATTTATAGGCGTGTTGAAGCTTTCTACAATATTCAGATTACGTAACAATACAAAGCTGTAATTAAGCATTTATGTACATTGATATATTGTTGATTTTTGCTCTTCCTCAACTTTGGAGAATAGGCAGGAGTTTCGCAATACATATTTAACACTATAAGCAATGCATGTTTTTTAAATATAACTTGATCTAAACAAACGTTCATATTAAAATAAATATGTAATAATAAATTCGTCACAGAACCTATCTAACAGGAGAAGAATGGCAATACGTGGTGAACTCAACGAAACTGAATGAACCTATCTAACAAAGGGAAGAATGGCAATACGTAGTGAACTCGACGAAACTGTATGAACCTATCTAACAGGGGAAGAATGGCAATACGTGGTGAACTCGACGAAACTGTATGAACCTATCTAACAGGGGAAGAATGGCAATACGTGGTGAACTCGACGAAACTGTATAAACCTATCTAACAAAGGAAAGAATGGCAATACATAGTGAACTCGACGAAACTGTATAAGCCTATCTAACAGGAGAAGAATAACAATACGTGGTGAACTCGACAGAGCGTATATGTACCTTAACAAGTTTCCTGCCATTTTCTACTGGTCAGTGGGTGGAAAAAAAATCCAAAAGTGGTACATATCATGTTGCAAATTTTTTTCGAGTAGATTAATGATAATCATTGGATACTGCGACAGGGGCAAATTATGGATCAAGAGAATGGAGTAAAGGTCGATCAGAGGTCTGTTGACTTTCAGGCCAATGTTCTGAATCCTTTGTACCAACAGAAATATCGACTTTGTTTACGGAAACGAGGCCAATAAGGTATTGGTTCACTAAAATAGGGTTTCCAGTCATTCCTCCAGTTCAACCATTGCATGTCTCAAGCAGATGGAAAACAAAAACATAACTTTCAAGTCGCTGGATGCAATGCGTATGGATTTTTGTGCGGCCCAACAGTTTAACTTGGCACTGGGAAGCGGTTGTTCTCGTACATTAGATGTACTGTGAAAAGTCGGCAGGCACTTCTGTCATGGCAACCTTACGACGGAGTCATTTGCGAAGGAAATACGCTGCAGGGCTATTGTCAAGATGGAAAGTCAGATAGATCGTGTCGGCATGAATGATGTTACTTAGCATTTCTATATTCTTTTTTATTCCATATTTAAAAATGTAGCAGAAAAAAATCTTCTTTCCTAGAATTATTGAAACATACAGGAATTAGTCGTTCAATAGAAATTATGTGAAGTTAAAGTGCGCATTTCATGAATGAAACCAAAATAATCCAATACAGGTGAAGGTGACAGATGAGAAATCCAGGAAACTAACAAAATTTTTCGGTACAGACGTAGATAAAACAAAAATTGCGAAAACGGAAGTTAGTTATAACATCATAAAGAAGTGTTCTCTTCTGTTGAGTTAATACGTTTTAACATATTATTGCTTATTTATAACTGCGTGTTTTAGATTTTCATGACACTGAGATTTACAAGACATTCTTGTTTAAATATCTAAAGACCACTAAATGAAGGAAAAAATTACATATAAGTATATAGCTTTGTTAAACTATTTCTTTATTATCAGTTCTTTGGTCTTAATAATTCCATAACATGTGGCATATTATATTTGTTTTTTAAAAGGAAGTATATATGTAGAAATATTCAATGAAATCTTGTAAATATAAATTATTCTCTCCAGTTACTTTTACATCAAGATTAGCTCCCCAGTAGCACATCGGTATGTCTGCGGACTTACAACACTAAAAACCGGGTTTCGATACCCGTGATGGGTAGAGCACAGATAGCCTATTGTGTAGCTTTGTGCATAACTTCAAACAAACTTCAAAATTAAACATTTATAAAATCTACCCAAACATTTTGTTGGGTTTTAACTTGATTTTAAATGTTTAAATTCTAAAGTGTGTTTTATCAAATATTTAAGATTACTGTTATCGATGATATAGTCTAATAAAAGAGTAAGCCTTTTATGTTATATTTATATCCTTACTAACCTAACTATGATATTAACGTATTACGGGAAGTATTGTAAATTTCAATGAAATAAAATTGAGCCAACGTATTGCTTTGCTAGGACCTCAATAATACATTTAATTTGTTTCATACAAATCACCTGTTTAGTTAACAGAATATACCTTGCACAACACAACTGTATATATATACATACATTGTAAATAACATGACAGATATGGCCACTGTTTGACGACTACATTTTTTTCAACCTGTTAAATAACATGACTTTTCCGTAACAATTTATATAGATAAAACGCTGAAAGATATTACAAAAATATTACATTTCTTTGAAGAAATAAACCCAATTAAAGACTTTTTTGTTTTATGTTTTTCTTTTCTATTGTCATTTATTAACACGTTAATGCAAAGAGCACTGTTGCTCAAATAATATTACTAACCTTAACAGACACAACTACATGTTGCTGTTACTTTTGAAATAAAAGTACAACAGGATTAAAAGTTTATCCCTTTATGAAATAAAATTGTATTTTCACTAAATAAGAATTACTACTAAATTCCACGTAGCTAATTGTTGAAGACAGTTTAACCAACATTAGACAATGAAACATAAATAAGTTATCACATTTCTACCTGAATCAACAAACCATAGAGCATATTGTTTAGACAGGCAAACCGGTTCTACTGTCTTCTGGTAAAAATATTTTAAATTATTTGTTAGTTAGACAATAATATCTCTAGAATATGTGAAATCCTTAGGTGCCTTTTATATAAAAATGGATCGTAAGTCTTATGTATGACAAAAACAACAACAGTTAAATGAAGTAATCGTAAAAGATCTAAAAGAATAGCATTTACACCTAGAAATAATCAGCATAATATTAAAAAGGGTCATTCTGTACAGGGTGATAGGTCAAACTGTTTGAGCTTTACTTGAATCTATTACTTCTAACAATGTTATTTTATGTAGCAGGTAAATATGTCATAAGATCCACATGTCAACTTTAAAACAACTGTTTAAAGCGTAGATCGCCTCAATCATATGCTACATCAACAACCAAGAAGTCCTTCTTCTAAGCATTTCTTTCCAATAAATATGGAGTGCAAGCTGGACCTAACATACATCTTTCATTAGTGTACCGAACATCTTACATTGTTTCTAAATATAAGATCTTATTGGATCTGTGTCTTATTTTCTAAACTAAATACACAAAATAACCTAAGAAGTTTTCTCACATAATGAATAGCCTCCTAGTTTTGTAAGTACTCTAATCTGATTCTATGTATTATTCAAAAATGTACAGTACAAGATTAACCATCTATAATTTGTTTTACTAAATGTTTAACGTAGATCTATAGAATATTCCTAACTGAGGATAACTAATTTAATATAATTACACTTGTTATTTATTAAACAGAATTAGTTTAAATGGTTGTAAGTATTTGCCCTAAATATACAGAAGCAGGTTTTTCTAGATATAGACACTTCCACAAAACATGGATAGATGTATGTTTACCAAACGTAAAGAATTAAATTAACATAGATCAATTTATGGTTCTAGATGTACAGATCTACTTTAACCTGAATCTATACAGACTGTTTTACCTGAATCTACATAGTGTTTCTTATTAAATAGAATTAATATCACATGAATCTATATAGATTTCGCAAAAGTATAAAATTAGTATATTTTGAATTTATCTTGTTTCTCAATATATATATATATAACTAATTTTCATATGCCTGAACCTCCATATTTCCTCTATCCTTTCGATCTCGTTTGATCTGAATTAAGCTATTCTTATGAATGTACAGATTTTGTTTTACTTGGATCTACAAATTGTCCCTACAAATTCAGAGTAGCTTTTTTTCTCGGTTTCATCTTACAGAACATCTTGTAGATGTGAGTTTTATGAGTATTTCCTAAAATGAGAAAAGCAATATTGATTTAGATTACTGTATGTATTTGTAACAGCCTTAGTTTGGATATCTGTAATTTTTTATAAGAATAACAAGACAGCCTTGAATTAGATTTATATATTAGTCTTAAAATATCTTACACCATGAAACTACGGCAATAACGTTTCCAAATAAAATGTCTGATCCATGTATTTCTTTAAGTCTACAAAAACAATCAGCCATGGACTTAGTGCACGTTTCAAGCTTCTTTGCTGCACAAATTCCAAATGGTTATAAATCTAAGTATATTTTCTCAAATACATATTACAAATTATAATTGATACAAATATATATACATTTCTTAAAATGCTGAGCATATACTGTATGTAATCAACTTTTCTTGACATATAGAGCAAATTCAACGTGGATCTAAGTCTGTGTATGTACTTAATATGCTGAGCATATGCTGTATATAATTAACTTTCCTTAACATGTAGAGCAAATTCAACGTGGATCTAAATCTAGGTATCTCTCCTTAATATGTAGAACAAACCGAACTTGGATCCAAATCTAGGCATCTTTCCTTAATATGTAGAACAAACCGACCATGGATCCAGATCTAGGCATCTTCCCTTAATATGTAGAACAAACCGACCATGGATCTGAATCTAGGCATCTTCCCTTAATATGTAGAACAAACCGACCATGGATCTGAATCTAGGTATCTTCCCTTAAGATACAGAAGAAATTCAGCTTGGATCTGATACTAAAGACGGGTTTTGAATAAGCATAACCACGTTATATTTATTTAATATAAATAACTAATTCAACATAGATTTGAACCAAGTTATCCTTTTTTAATAAACGGAATGATATTCTTCAGAATTTATATCTTTTTCTTACTATGCAAAATAGATCCATCGTGGATCTGAATCAATATATGGGTATATATTCCTTAATATGAATAAAGATGTGGATCTCTCTCTTTGATAGTTTCCTTAATGTGCAGAATAGAGGTGACATGGATCTGAATATACGTATCTTTCCTTAATAACTAGAATAAATTCATCATGGATCTGAGTCTACGTATCTTTCCTTAATAACTAGAATAAATTCATCATAGATCTGAATCTACGTATCTTTCCTTAATAACTAGAATAAATTCATCATGGATCTGAATCTACGTATCTTTCCTTAATAACTAGAATAAATTCATCATAGATCTGAATCTACGTATCTTTCCTTAATAACTAGAATAAATTCATCATGGATCTGAATCTACGTATCTTTCCTTAATAACTAGAATAAATTCATCATGGATCTGAATCTTCATATTTTGTCTGAATAAGTAGAAAAAATCCACTATGGATCTGAATTTACTCGTCATTTCTTACTAGGTAGAATGACATAGAATTGAAATTATGAATTTTCTTCCTTAATATATACATGTATGTTTCTTTTATAAACTGAGCTGATTTAACATGGATCTGAATCCATGCATCTTTCCTTTATATGCTGAACGACGTCGTCTAAATCTGCGAGTTTCTTTTTAACATGACTAACCTATTCAACTTAGATCTTAATCTATATGTATATACATATGTGTGTATGTCTTTCGTTAAATATGAAAAGTGCCGTATCTGTTTACGTATCTATCCTTGTACGCAAAGTGATATAGAACTGAAACCTTACCAAACTTTTCCTTTAACGTGTTGAATGACATTGGTTTCAATTTACGTATCTTTTCTTAACATCCAGAATCAATTCAACAAGCGTTTCAGTCTATGTGTTTCTCCTTAAAACACACTATCTGAATCTTTGAAGGCTTTCTTCATACATGCAAAATGAGGTGGACCTTGATTTATTTATATTTTATTGGAAAATAGCACAACCTTGAACCCTTCCTTACTATTCAGGAAGTCATTCGAAATTAATGTGAAACTATACGTTTTACCTTAATATTAAGAAAAAGCCTAAAACAGATATGAACCTATATATCTTTTCTTAATATGCAGTACGAAATGGTGTAAATTTTTACGTTTTTTTCACAGTATACTGAAAAAAATTGACATAGCTATGATCCTTTCTGTCTTTTTCTAGTATGCAGAATGTTCTAGATATTGATTTATGCACGTTCCCTAACTAAAATAATTACCCTTATGACTTCTTTTTCAGATACAGAGAAGTAGAGACCTGTGTATTTGGTTGTTAACTTAACTGAGTGTTGTGGTAATCAGAATCGAGCTTGTGTTTTCTGACAGTGCAGTGTTGACGTCATTGCCCAGGTAATAACGCGAAGATGCGAGAGGCAAAACAAGTAGGTTGATACTTGTTTTTACAAACTGTTTGACTTGATATCATTGTTTTGTGAAGCGATAGAGACGATCCTGTATTCTGCAAAAAAAATGTCTTTAAACCTAAATGTGTTTACTCATTAGGGCAAATAAAAACATCTGTTACGAAGTAGTAGCTGAAAACGCAACAAATAAGATTATTTCGTTACCCACTCTATATAAATCTCATTCTTTGCCAAAAAACCTGATTCAGCCGTTTCACAAGTTAAGACATAACGAGACTGATTTTAATTGCTTCACAAATGAAAATAAACAAGTTGTTTGGAATACAACTTTTAGAGTGAAACATTGTTAGCTAACTACATCAAAAAATTAACTGACATGAAGTTCACCTTCAGCAGGAATTAATCCAAAGTAACGCCCCCAGTGGGAGCACACGAAAAGTTAGTATCACAAATGTTCTGGGTAAAAATAAAACATTTGTGATGCTACAGTTCACCCCTTTCCATGGGTGGGGCGTAACTTATTACTTTAGAATAACCCTGTGTGTATGTTTAAAAGAAAGTTATAACCTGTTATATAAGTAGCTTTTATATTCATAACTTCCAAATTTTCCATTTTTTTCTCTTTAGATTACTTTGGAAAACTTACAAACGAACTTTGCATACTTCTTGGGTGTTTTTTGAAACTGTATTTCTTATATTAGAAATTTATAAAATTACAAACAAGTGTCATATTCTTATAAATTCAATTATGCATCCAGATATGTAGATTTGAACTAATAGCATAAAAAAGTGTTTTAAAAGTTTTCGTACCTCATGCAACTGTGCTGCTTACCTGTATAGAGTTAATATACCACTTTGCTAATCTTTATCTCTTACAGAAACTTATTTCATAGGAAAGGTAGGAAACATAAAATGATGCCATGCAAGATGACTACTGTTGATGGAAGTCCTAACGTTCATCTGATAGAACTCTAACATTACAACAATTATCACGACCTTCCACTGTTCCTGTGTCAGGTAAGACAATATTTATCACAGACACTCACAGTAAGACTGCTTTCACACTACACGTGTTACAAGACAGGTTAGTGAAGAGCTAGATTATCTTTCAGCGAGAGTGTTACTTCTTTTATAAAGTCTACGTTTCTGTCCTGGTTGTCTCGGGCGGTTTTCTTCGGGACTCTCCACGATTGGACCAGCAGCAGCAACACTAGCCATAGCAGCGTGATCAAGACCTGTGGAGCGGAGTAAGTTAGGCTGGAGACTGGCTCGTCGGAAACGGTTAGGAGAGCTAAGTTTATTCACATCCACACTCGATGGGTCGGCTTGATAAGCTAGTGCATTCATAATCACGTGGTCTGGTATAACTCCAACAGGATGGACTTCCTTGATTAGCACACTCGCTGGAATTTTGTAAAACTCGATATATTCAATGAAGTTAGCGATGGTCTCACGTAAGTCAACATTTCCCATACTGTCACAGTAGCGACGGCTCCAGTGCATCGCTGCCTGGAATTTAGTCATCTCGTCGGCTCTTAACTCTTCTCTGGATAAGATAAGTCTCACTACATGAAGAGGAAGCAGTGCGAAGGAGCCGAGGCTGAGCACTTCGTTCCCATGGTTGTCCACAAACTCTAAAACCTACAAACAGCAAAAACAATAACAAAAGAAAAAACGAGATTGGTTTTCAAAATTGTTGATTTTTTATTAACAAAGAACCTACTTTCATAATAATACTATAAATCGATAAGAGTTTTTATAAGACAATGATTAGTTCGTCCCGAGACTACAACAGTTTTTATAGAACAATGATTAGTTCGTCCCGAGACTACAACAGTTTTCATAAACAACACGGCTAGTAAAAAAACACTTATAGATATGCAATTCTTAAAAGGCGTTAGTTAATTTGACTTAAGAAGTTACATGTAAAAATAATTGAATATTATAATATTATAATTCTTAACCATTTTCTAAAATCCTCATGAGCTGGTTTACTCTGAATCGCTGTATTGAAATATATTAAACATGAAGGTTTCTTACTATATTATAAAACAATTCATTTCTTCAATGTACTGAACTTACCCTCTGAACTAAAGACTTAGTACACTTGTATTGGATGTACTTCTCTGCTGATGCTAGTAGGGCACACACAGTATCAACATTAATACAACTTTGTACAAAACCCATACATGCTCTCCGCAGTTCTTCTAAACCATAATAATCAGCCGCATTCATAAGACCTGAAAAAATTAACAACACCATAGCTCCAGAACGTTTTTACTTAACCCTAAATCTTCCTGGCACCGTAAAATCGGTAAACTCTAAATCTAAAGATTTAGAAAACATAATGGTATTTTAATACTTATATAATGCACATTAAAAATACTTTTTGGTTAATTCAAAGAGTTCTAATTCGCTCTAAAATAAGCATTATAATGTACAACCATTATAATACTAACAAAAGCATTAGGAAGATGACACAAAAAGTGAATAACAAACAGCACTAGGAAGATGAAACAAAAAGTGAATAACAAACAGAACAAGGAAGATGAAACAAAAAGTGAATAAAAACAGTGCTAGGAAAATGACACAAAAAGGGGAGAACAAACAGTACTAGGAAGATGACACAAAAAGTGGATGACAAACAGCACTAGGAAGAGGAAATAAAAAGTGAATAACAAACAGCAGTAGGAAGATGACACAAAACTGAATAACAAACAGTACTAGGAAGATGAAACAAAAACTGAATAACAAACATAACTAGGAAGATGACACAAAAAGTGGATAACAAACAGCACCAGGAAGATGAAACAAAAAGTGAATAACAAACAGCGCTAGGAAAATGACACAAAAAGGGGAGAACAAACAGTACTAGGAAGATGAAACAAAAAGTGAATAACAAACAGCACCAGGAAGATGACACAAAAAGTGGATAACAAACGGCACCAGGAAGATGAAACAAAAAGTGGATAACAAACAGCACTAGGAAGATGACACAAAAAGTGGATAACAAACAGCACTAGGAAGTTTATAGTGAAATTTATTATCTGCATTTTTGTTATATTCTTAATTATTTTATAAAATTTTTGTGTCATCTTCCTACTACTGTTTTTATTCACTTTTTGTTTCATCTTCCTAGTGCTATTTGTTTTTCATCCACTTTTTGTGTCATCTTGACACAAATAACACAAGAAGATGATACAAAGTGGATAACAAACAGTATTAGGAAGATGACACAAAACGTGGATAATAAACAACAGTTAAAAGAGGATGCAAAAGTGGATGCCAATCAACACTAAAAAGATGACACAAAAGTGTCAAGTTACATGATATAAGTAAACACACTGAGCATGGCATGTAGGAATGCATCTTTAGAACTTGAGGACAGGGTGAGGTCGTTAAAATTAAAAACGTTAGATGATAATTCTGGTCAACCACTGTTCTAAGTTTCTAAACTCCAAAATTTTACAAAAATGGATTAAAATACCGAATAAAAGGATAAATTAATTAGAAAAAAGAATGGAATAAGTATAAAGTGCAACGATTTAAAAATATTACGTCTTTTTATACGGAATTGTACTACAAGTGATTCAGAACAGACTGAATTGTAGCGAAGTTGTGTTATTATTTATAGTTTGGAGTTCATTTATAATAGATGGACTTTTTAAATTAAAAGTTCAATATTTAATGATGCAGATGTGATGATTTTGAAATTTGTAATCAAAATAGGGTGGTTATTGTTTTCGCTATGTATGCGAATTGCGAGTCTGGAAGATCTGATAGTTGTTTTCCAGCTCTGCTTGATACTCCCATACGTTCGCAGGTGTAATGGACCTTTTTTGTCAATTTAAATGGCATTACAGACACCACATGTATATCTATAGATGATCCGGGAACGAAGTGGAGTAGGTAATAGGCCTTTAGATCTGAATAGATTTTGAATCTTGAAAGGTGATTTGAATGTCATTTGTAGTTTAAACCTGTGTATAAAAAGATTTATTTATTCTTATAGTTAGTGACTTTAGTATGAAACGTTGTTTACCTAAGAACATAATCGCAAATAGCTCTTTGTAAAACAAAATCTTATAAAGTAATACTGCCTGTATGCCTCCTTAGACAGATTAGAAATGAAGTAATAATTCGTTCGCTAGTTAAATGTATAGAAGGGCTAGCTGTATAAAGTTCTGTTTCGTTTTTATCATGTTAATACAAACATGTCAGTAATGTTGAAACAAATATAGTCATGTCCACACTTAAACAGAAAAATAAATCATCAGTAACGTTGAGACTAAAATTAGCATATAACCACATCATACTTCATCGTGATGTTCTTCCATTTATGTTGGAATGTGATTTGAGAAGTTGCGTAGATTTTCGTTTACATAATTCTTTATTAAACACCAAGTTCATGACAATATTGGTAACGAAAATCACCTTTTAGCTTACTGCGTTGTTTCGGCTTTTGCGAAGTTTTCCATTACATATAATCTGTATTTTTAAACAAATAGAATTTATAATACTTAGGGTGACTTATAGTCGGAGAATGAAGTTGTAACATTTCACAATCAGATAGTTCAAAAATATGGGTTTTATAAAAAAAAGAAACCCTTAATAACACTTTACAAAGTAAATTGCATTAATATTAGAAAACTGATATGATCATGCAAGGTAACTGAAACTTACCCTTCCCAGCTGCGGAACTGCCTATCTACCATTTTGTTCGTTGTTGGTAATTCTGTATGTGTATTGTGCTCAGATTGGTAATTCTGTATGTATATTGTGCTCAGGTTGGTAATTCTGTAGGTGTATTGTGCTCAGATTGGTACTTCTGTATGTATATTGTGCTCAGGTTGGTAGTTCTGAATGTATATGGTGCTCAGGTTGGTAATTCTGTATGTGTATTGTGCTCAGATTAGTAATTCTGTATGTGTATTGTGCTCAGATTGGTAATTCTGTATGTGTATTGTGCTCAGATTGGTAATTCTGTAGGTGTATGGTGCTAAGATTTTCTAGCAAGCTAGCTGTTCGTAATATATTATACATTATATCTGTTCTTAACTCTTTCTCTCTTTGATTTTAGTTTTTTATTATTATTCGTGAACACACACCTCATTTAAGCACTTCAGGCTTTATTTTCTCACGCCCCCCTCTCCCCTGATTACATTATTTTTCTGTATTTCCTATTCAATTGGTTACACGTTTAGCTTGTATAGTCCGTTTGTAGGTATAAATTTTATCCCACCTGATGATGACAAAACCTTGTCGAAACGTTGTACATTTGCTGTTATGTTAAACTTATATTAAAGAGTTTCTTCATTACCCATTCAAGCCGTCTCCAACCATTATTAGTCTCAAAGTGGGTTCCTCGTCATCGAATTTTTATCCCACTATATTTTCAGGCCTCATTATATTTCCTTCCCTGACTGTAGTCCGTTTTTTTGATTATCACGGGCCTTTTGTTGAGTTCGATTGTTGTGTTTTTGCATTTCTTGTTCTCCCCAATTTATTTTTAATTTGTCACAAATTACTCTTACTAATCTCTTCGTATCCTCGCAGTGGTTCAGCGGTAAGCTTAACGGTTATAACCTTAAAATTCGAGGTTCGGTACCTGAGGTGGACACACCGCGGACAGCCCATTAGTTTAAATAGAAACGACAAAACTCGCTGCATTTCATAAGTTATTTACTCTTTCCATTAGATTTATTTTGGGATTGTGCTTCTGTTTGGTTGAAGAAGGAGAAACAATACTTTGACATTCCCTTGGCCTTACCACAAATTACGTACTTTTACTTACCCGTTGCTTTATATAACTTATAAAACTTAGCGGTACCTTTACTTACCTAGTAGAGTACGAGCTTGTAACATTACACAACCAGTATGAATATATTCAATCAACTGACGGAAGACGTCGGGTTCGAATTCTTCAACAATTAGGGTCTGATGTCCACTAGCTACAGGCTAAGGAACGAAATGCAATATTTTTGGGGTAACTTATATATATCATTGAATTAGAGAAAAAAAAGTGTTAGCAACTACTGAAATCTTCCTCTGATTTAATTATTCATTCAGAAAAATAACATGTTGATGAAAGTGGTTTGTAAAGAATAATAACACCCTATTGGTCAGTTAATAAGGAGCATAAAAACATTTAAAATAATTCGTAAGTTATAAATGTGAACTAAGTAAGACAGGTAAAGAGTTTGTACTAAGTAGGATATGGGCAATTTAACTTAATTAGAATACATTTATTGAACAAGACGAATCAAACATGGCTTGTAAAAAAGCTTTCTGGAAATACCTAAAAGTACACTTTTTAATAATCCCCTTTAAGAACAGGATGGTGGTAGACGTAAAATCATCAAATAACTATAGGATGTAAGATTTAGCAAGAAAAGCATGTGCGAGAGGTGTGCTGATCACAGACGAAGGAGACGACAAAACAGATACATCAAGAAAACACAAACGTTATTGTACCACATCAAATAAAAACATAACTGTAATAGTAAAATAAAAATGAAGATAAAATAAACTGATGTTAAAGAGAACCAAACCTAAATTGAGAACAGTAGAGTAAACTTGAGATCTCTGACGTGCTGGTTGTGTGGAGTAAACAACAGGCTACTAAACAATTTTACTTGCTTAGGATCAAATTCAGATTAATTACGAAAAACTTCAACCAGCAAAGCTCTAACAACCTATGGATTACCCAGTTATGGTCAGAAAACCTGACAATTACGTTATCTTCCCATCCAATGTTACAATTGTACAGAAAGATTCACACCAGGACGTGTAAGACAACCGACACAGATGATGGTTAATACATCTACAAATTATACACACTATAAAGGCTACGGTTAATAGCCTTTATAGTGGGAATAAGTCTTAGTTGTATTAACCGTAGCTTTTATAGTGTGTATAAATCTTATCTATATGAACCGTTGCCTTTATAGTATATATAAATCTTATCTATATTAACCGTTGCCTTTATAGTATGTATAAATCTTAGCTATGTTAACTGCAGACTTTATAGCGGATATAAATGTTAGCTATATTAACCGCAGCCTATATAGTGGGAATAAGTCTTAGCTGTCAACTGCAGACTTTATATCAAGTATAAATCTTAGCTGTATTAACCGTAGCCTTTATAGTGGGTATAAATCTTAGCTATACTAACCTTAGCCTTTATAGTGGGAATAAGTCTTAGTTGTATTAACCGTAGCTTTTATAGTGTGTATAAATCTTATCTATATGAACCGTTGGTTTAAAGTCTACTAAAAGTATAAGGGTGGTTTAAAGTCTACTAAAAGTATCAGAGTGGTTTCAAGTCTATGAAAGGTAGTAGGATGTTTCAGACACTCCTGAAAAAAGTGGGATTAAATCCTGCCTCATCCCACTCCACTTCAAGCACTAGATATATAGTAAGTGGCGTATGTGTACACTCTTGTTGCATGTTTTCGTCACATCCAGTCTAGTATGGTGACGTCGTGTGGATAGTCGCTTGACTCTTCCATGACGCTTTCATGTATAAACAGTTCTCCCAGTGCTAGATTTATTTTGTATATAGACAAATACGTGTTTTGATATATATCTACTTATCTGAAGTTGAAACTGATGAACTCACAGAATGTTTAAGGGAAACACGCTTTCATCATGGTGGTAGAAAACTCCAATCTCACGTGGTAGTGCTCTAGAGGCGGACGTATTATGTCTGTGACAGTGAAAGATGAGGAGAGTCGTGGTATATTTGTACTATAATTCTACACATGTATATACTTATTAAAGTTAAACATATACACAATTCAAAAAAATGTGTTCCTTTATAGTGGGTATAAATGTTAGCTATATCAAGAGGATGACTTGTTTAGAATACTGTCAAGAGGATGACTTGTTTAGAATACTGTCAAGAGGATGACTTGTTAGAATACTGTCAAGAGGATGACTTGTTAGAATACTGCCAGCACTTTAAAAAACATTCCCAGCGTTACTTTAAACCACAAGAACAGCAAAACTTTGCATGAATCTTGCTTACCATAGTAAGTTGAACATAACATTCATTCACATCTAAGATAATAAATTTCCATATTTTAACATATATATTTTAATCTAACGTACTCAACTTCTTTATACATATGATAAGGATATAGCTTGTGCGCTGGTATTTCCTTAGAATTAAATAGAACACGTCATTATTTTTGTTTCGTATTTCCCATAAAATACTTACTACACATTAAGCTTATCTTGACGAAAAGGGTGCAGCTTCAGTTTACACATTTTAGTTTCTGAGAAATCGACGAGAAAATCAAAGGGAGATTCACCAATTCAACAAGTGTGATAGTGGACAATATTTGATATACTTAAATTATCGTCTGTTGTCAAATTTTATAAGAGTGGTTTAAAGTCTACTAAAAGTATAAGGGTCAGTATTCTAACAAGTCATCCTCTTGACAGTATTCTAACAAGTCATCCTCTTGACAGTATTCTAAACAAATCATCCTCTTGACAGTATTCTAAACAAGTCATCCTCTTGACAGTATTTTAAACAAGTCATCCTCTAACTATCATTGCTGTCAGGTGCATGTGTTCAAATCAGTTTCCTGTAAACGTATTTTTATACCAACGACCTCTTACAGTAGAAACTGCATGGCGCTCAGATAAGTATTGTTACTGAAATTAGGACAGTTTGTAGAAAACAAAAGGAATCTAAGTGATTTTTTAAAACTCTCAAATGGTCTTTTATTTATAGTACGTACTTTAACATGCTATTGTTTGCTAAAGTTTAAAACGACAGTTCAACACCGTTTCCAAAATATACGAGCAGCCTTCCGAATGCGTAAATGAATGATGCGCACTTAGAGACGGGTTGATCTAAGTGTTTTAAACTTTATCTTAGATAAAGAATGAACTGACCGGTGGGGCCTGGACAGTGATGTTTGGCTCACTACTTCGTTTCAAGAAAAGCCTGAGCTTAGTGTCCTTAATTGAATCCCGTTTCTTTGGAGAAGGTTCTCGGACGGGCTGTTGTTGTCGCTGCCCGTACAACATCTTGTGGAAAACCCTAGTCACACAAAAAAATAAACCACATTTAGGTTGATACTTTCACTACAAAACTTTCTTTCGTACAATGTGAGATTGTAACATCACACTCTGGGTTATAATAGTAAAACAGAGCAACAAATACGAATGACAAACTAAAAAGCATATTAAGTTTCTTATTGTGCTTTAACTAAGTGGCTTATTATATTCCACTTAAGTTTCTCGGTTTAAAATGTAGCTGTACATTCAACAGAAACATGAATAAACAACAGCTTCTAAAAGCACATGCTGACAACATGTATTATCACAACGTGATACAATCATACCTATACAAATAAAATAGTACTATCTGTTGTATGTACATGTAACTACTTCGAAGATCTTCACCAAATTTGTTATGGAGGATTACTGGGTCCATGGAGAGATACATACAAATTTTCAATTTTGCATTTTGCGTTTTGAGGTTTTTATGGGCGTTTTTGCGTTTTTTTACCACTACTTCGTCCCCTGTTGATGGATCTTCACCAAATTTGGCATGAAGATTTGTTGAATCCATGCAAAGATACATGCAAACTTGCGGTTTACACTTTGTGTCTTACAGTTTTTATGAGCGTTTTTTACAATTACATATAAGGGAATCAACTTTTCATGTCCTAAGATAATATTTCATTAATCATGAATTTACATAACTTCCGTCGAGGGGACGGGTACTCCAGCTAGTTATCTATAGTTTTATAAACATATGTAAAAAGTCCAAATAACTTAGTTTAGTGACATAATATGGATTTAAAGTCTGTCTGTTTCATCGTTGTGTGTTGATACATATTCATCCACCTGTTTCTCTATTCACCTGTTTGTATTACCAATGTTCACAATATCTCAATTTTGATTTGATTTTAACCTGAATGAGGAAGCATCCAGATCTTATTTAATTGTTCAAGCCCTTCACGTAAAACTATACTTCTTAACATCTAGGCTAAATGTCACAAAACTAAACAAGGCTGATACTGTTACTCTTAAGTCTGTGAGGTTTGTATTCCTGAAAACGAATATCCATTATCCTTTCAGACATAGCTTACTCTGGTAGTTGCTATAGTTTGTCAAACTGCTGAAAGAAAACAACATTTCATATTGAAATATATTAAAGTTTTCATCAGATCATAAAACGTTGATTTTATTGTTTACAAACAGTATTCAGTATAAAAAACTTTAATTATTTAATGCTAAAAATTGACTTTTTTGTTGAGAAGTTTGTTTGATGCTTCCATACATACATATATCATATAAGACAGATGACAAGCTTGTTTGATGCGTCCATATATATATCATATAAGACAGATGACAAGCTTGTTTGATGCGTCCATATATATATCATATAAGACAGATAACAAGCATGTTTGATGCTTCCATACATATATCATATAAGACAGATAACAAGCATGTTTGATGCTTCCATACATATATCATATAAGACAGATGACAAGCTTGTTTGATGCGTCCATATATATATCATATAAGACAGATGACAAGCTTGTTTGGTGCTTCCATATATATATATATATATATCGTATAAGACAGATGACAAGCTTGTTTGATGTTTCTACATGTATATCATATAAGACAGATGAAAAGATTGTTTGATGCTTCCATATATGTATACTAACTGAAAGTTATGTAAGCAGACAGTACTATTATATTTATATAGATATCATATAAGCCTCATTGTCTTAAAACCACACGCAACAAAGTGCTTATAAATTGCTTTTAAACCCTCAGTATTATTACTTTAATTTTTATGTTTTATAATTGTCTCAATAATGTATATATAACAAGAGCAATCAGAGAGATTGCATACCCTCGCCCCGCCACTTCTTGTCGAGATTGCATGCCTTTATATTGGAATTTCACCTTCCAAAACACAGAAAATCCTTCTCAGATCCAGAATGGTCAACGATCCAGATAATTTTTTTGTTGTGTGATGAGAAGTCTCAACCTTAATGTGCCCATGAAATTTGGTACAAATCTGATCACACTTTATACAGTTATTAACCCAAACACGCGAAAATGTCCTATCTCTCCATTATAAAAATGCTTTAAAGTGATCCAGAATCCAGAACCGTATTTGGATCCAGAACAATAATTGGGAATGACTGTTCCATACTGAATTCCCATCTTTTGTAAAATTTTAATGTACATCGGTCTATTAGCTTTTGAGACACGAGCGCGAAAACACAGACAAACAGACACACACATGGATCCAATTGCAATACCCTCAACACCCTCGCCATCCGCCTCCGGGGGCGAGGGTAATAATAAGAAGCTTTACAAAAACACTAATACATTGATTTTTTTACTAATTTTTACTTGAAACTTAAAAAACATATACAATATGAAGAAAAGCCTACCTGATATTCAGTAAAAATATTATTTACTAAAACATATTTAACAGTTCTAGACTACATAATTTTCACAAATGTTTTTGAGATCTAAAGCAAAATTAAAATTTATCTTTATTACCTGGATCACCTCTATTTCTTTTCTTAAATGTAAGAATTATTATAATAGCAAAACGTAAGTATTACTGAGAGAACATCAATTTCGCAAATCCTATTAAAAGAATCAAAATAATAATTAAAGAAAGATATGTTCCATTTCTCCACATGTTATGTATTTAATTCTACTGTTTTTCATCATTTTATGGTGATTTATTTTTCTGCTATACACGCATTCATATCTTCTAAGTCAATAAGTTTGTTAAATTCTACTTCTTCATTTACATATTATTTTTCAGTTGGTGTAACTCCTCATTTTTACAGTCCAGCTGTTTTAAATTGTGCTCTACATTGCTAAACAGAATTTTGAGGTAACTAAACTACTGTGTCAGTTCAACATTCACTTTCATTCAGACTGTTTATTTAGAGCCAAACTTTTTACACACTCACTTTCTTTAATTTTGTCCGAAATAGCTTAGTATGTTGTAGAATAACGTTTTATTATTGAGGTAAATTATTCACAAGTGAGTTCAGGATCACATCCAAAGTTTCGAGATTCTGGAGAAGTTAAAAGCTAGGGTTGTAGATGAAACTAATAGAATGATACTCTATGTGTTATTAACAATGTACACTTTAATTTGCAAGATAGAGTGAAGAATGTGCATTAAGTGAGAGTGAAGTTGTCAATGTGGATAATGTAAAATGAAGAAAATGGATAAGTTGTCAATGTGGATAATGTAAAATGAAGAAAATGGATAAGTTGTCAATGTGGATAATGTAAAATGAAGAAAATGGATAAGTTGTCAATGTGGATAATGTAAAATGAAGAAAATGGATAAGTTGTCAATGTGGATAATGTAAAATGAAGAAAAT